CCAAGCCAGAGCCAAGAATTCTGAACAGGATTGGGTCATTTTGGTAATGTTGAATGGCCTATCTCCTTCTTTACAATGTACTTGCCTGTAATCAGGGAAAACATCAGACTGAGTCTGGGTTTGGAACCAACAAGCATAAGGCTTTTGGAGTTTGGGTCGATATTTAGCTTTCTCTCTGGCTCAGGCAGAAAATTATGGTCGAGCTGGACTTTTAGCACTTGAACACACACACTGTCCACGTAGTAACCAAATTGTCAGCTACGCTTGTCCCAAAAATGCTCTGATGCCAACCAAAATGTAAAAGTCAACCGTAAGACTGACTGAAAAGTGGGGAAAAAGACAGGCAGAGAAAATCTCCTCTGCCTCTTTGCTCTGAAAGCTCAATTTGTCACAGTAGCGATTAGAAATGAGAAATGCCAAACATAGCTGGAAGTTAAAGGTCTCCCAGTAGGGATTTGACACATCTGCTATAACTCAACAGTGTCTGACCTTTCTCTCCTTATTAACAGTGTGGGCCCATGTGCATTGTTACAGCAGAGTGGAAAGTGACGAGAGGAGCAAAAAAAAAAACTAATTTACCGCTTTAATGAAGTCAACTTGACAGTGACACTGACGCTGCCCAAGGTCAAAGGCAGAGACTTCCACAGTGAGTGCATAATAATGCAGCCTAGTATTAACAAGACTGACATTTAAACAAGGACCAGGCCGCAACTCTGATCAGGTGGCTAATTATAAGCTGGAAGGTGCTCATCAGTGCAGCGGATCAAAATGAGAGAGAAGGAAAATCTAGTGTGGGTTCAAAGAATAGTCTCTGCTGTCAAAGACCGTGTCCCTGCTGGGAGACAAACCAGGGTGAACAATCAGTAATTATGCACGCCTCAACAAATTGGAAATGGACACCTGTCACACAAATCTCATTAAAACATAAAAGATCCATACGGAATTGAGGACTGACATATTGCAGTTATAATTTGACCGAGTCGTCTGTGCAAGATGTTGAAGAGTTAAAAGTAAAACAAAGACTCCTCCAATGATTTTACATGTACAGGTTTTGGATTTCAATTCAAAAAGCTACAAGAACTAAACATCCTTGACAACAAGATACGTGTTCTCAGATTTCCATTATATTACGTGTGTGACAAAATTTTGCTTTACATGTTTCTCTGAGAGGATGATACTGATGATGACCTTTTGAACAGATGATGACAGCAGCCTTGAAACTTGATACACAAACCCCATCATAACAATAAAGGAGAAATTCATCTTCTCTTGCCCGCCTCCACAGTAAACTCAAAACTGTGGAACTACAGAGCTGTCAGGATTTCTAACACTCAAGGACACCTCAGGTACAAAGAGAAGTACTGCGTGGTAGTGGGATGAAAAATGTAAAAACAGAGATGACGATAAAACAACCAGCTGCTGAACAAAGAGCTAGAATTTAAATTGAATAGACCAAAGGAAATTAAATGAAAGTTGCAATTTAGTATGGTAGAACAGATTTAGCAAATAACGTATACTGTCAACAATGATGACCTATGAGAAAACAGAGCATTCAAACTTATAGTAATATTTTGAATCTTAATTCTCAAATTCAACAGCATATTCACTCAGGATAATTAGATGCCACTAACACAGACCTCTAGCATTTATAAACCTGACTAAAAATAAGTACTATAATATCATTCAGGGCCATTGATGATAAAAAGATCAGTGCCACCATTCGCTGGTTAAATCATCAAAGCAAATACAGACTCAATTGATGCATTGTGGGACATTACACAAAACTGATCAGCCTTTGTAAAATGTGGATTAATGTTTCTTTGGACTGTGTCAGGAAGGTCATCATACATTTTGATCTGCAACATAATGTAAAGACGATCATGTTGTTTCCACCCCCACCTTTTCTTAATTCAAATTAAACATGTAATTATTTAACAATAGCAGACATTTTCTGTTTTGATGTTGTACATTGTGCCTTATGCTATTTTAGATATATTATATATATTTTGATGAAATTTCAAGAATATTAAACTGCAACTTTCTCAGGCATCAGAAACGTCTGATTTGGCTAATGTTGAAAAAATTAAGACCTCAAAGGCTTTGATTACACTGATGGAATAATGAAAACTCAATGTCACTGAATGTTCTGCTCACTGACTGGAAAAATTGCAACTGATTAACAAAAAGGTCAAAACAACATTTGTATTATGACATGGTATACATGCTCAAATTTCTGCAGATGCAGCTCTGCTTTATATTTGAGTGATGTTATAAAGCCATTATACTTACTGCAACGTCGAGCTGGTCCAAGGGAACTGCCTCCTCAGCTAACAGCTGCACTGAAGAATCAGCATTGACTGTTACTGATCCACTGCTCACTGTGGAAACACAAAAACACACAGAGGAGTTAAACATCCAAACAAGTAATTTTCAGTTTTAAAATCAATGGTGTGGAGAAGGAATTCAGTGGTCAGCTGTATGGGAGCGATCGATTCAATAATTTAAGCAGAGGGTCGAAATTCTATCATGTTAATGCATGGTTATCTGATATATATCTATATCGATATATATTGTTTTGGCAACAATGAAGTTAAAACGCTGTGTTGAGTCAAAATCTTCGGACAGAACTTCTGTCTGCAGAAGAGTGTGTATGTGCGTGTGTGTGTGTGTGTCTGCTCGTCTCTACCCCTCTTTAACTGATCATCCCATTTATTTAGTTATTAATCGTTTGTTTTGGATCATGACTGTAACCCTGATGTCCTGTCTGTGAGCATTGCGTTACATCTCGTGTTGTGTAGCAGGTTTAAAATTCCTGCACTGTATATCACAAGCTATTTGCAGAATCTTCCCACTCTAATATTGCATTGAAATGCATACTTAAAAATTTAGCTCAGAAGGAAAACAACATCACAGTCCTGCAGAGGCGGCTCGATCCCCAGTTATTCACTTCCTTTAGGTGAAGCACAGTCTTACCAAAGTATTTGACAGAGGAGCCGTCGTCATTGAAGACTGTTACAACGCCGGGCCTGAGCACCTGCAGGGTGGGTACGTGGGCAGGGAGGATACCGAATGCACCGCTGAGTGTGGGCACATCAACCTGTTTCACACTGGCCTCTTTGAAAAACACCTGGAGACAGGATGGAGAGATGCAGTGACTGATATTATGAAACAATTCAACTTCAGTAGTGACTGGTCAAAGATGCAGCTGCTGGATTATAAACAGGAGAGATAGGATTAGAACATAGAAAATGTCTCTTCTGACAAGGTTATGTTTTCATTGGCTTTTACTTATGAATCTGTTTGATGGTTTGCAGGATTACACAAAAATATTGAAAGGATGAGGTATAGGTCAGTAAAGAACCCATTTCATTTTGGATTAAATCTGGATCAGGGGGCGGGTCCATTTATTGTTTTCACTTTCTTCAACATTGCCAGATAAAGCTTTTTTGTAACCAAAACATTTTATCCTGACAAAAACAATCCATGGATCTTGTTGAAAGAAATCAGACATACACGGCTTGGTGCAGACCCAGATTCAAATCTGGATCTAGAGAATTTCAATATGGTTTCATAAAGGGAAATTTCACCATGGCAGAGGAATGCAGGAGTTTTCTATGAGATTCATCCACAGGACTGGATGTGCTAACACAGTGGGACGGGACCTACTCAGGGACATGAAGCTCAAGGTTAGAGAGCTCTGCTTCTAACACTGTGACTCTGGGACTGTTTCACCACGACACACACTTGAATACACGTGTGTGCTTCAACGTTTGTGAAGTTTAAAGCAGAGCACCGCTTTTAAATCACATCTTCGTGAAGTGCACACTGACACGCCGCTGGTCAAAGACAGTGAATGACAGCTAGCTTCGCCATCGTTAGCTAGCTAAGCTAAACCCCTGTTCTCACAATGCAAACTCCGCCTGGATCAAACTGCATATGTGCACCAACTACTGTTAGCACACGTGCATACCTGCTAAATGAGCCCGGAGGTCATGGTTGTTTTCTGTCAAATGTGACGGTGCATTTAGGAGGAAAATACATGTAAGCTAGCAGAGCAGCAGCCTGGGCCCAAGGAGCCTCGCCGTTAACGTTAGCTAAGCTACCTGTGTCGGGGAGGCGAACGTGAAGGACATCTGCGGGGCACCGGAGGCCACCTCTGCGTAGGACCGGGCCTGCCTGAGCACCGGGAGAGCACGGCGGAGAAACCTCGCTGCCATCATGTCAGAAATCCGCTTCTTGTTCAAGTACGAGTGAATGACAGAGATCCCGGAGCTCCGGCGTGAAGACAGGCAGTGTGCGCAGGGCAGGACAAGGACGTTGGTACCCTACCCATAAGCCTTTACGCTTTCGCAAAGGATGCAGGGTAGTGTAGTCTGTGCACTGTTGTGTACATACTCTGCTTGATATTATTTTATTATCATTTTGATTATTACATCGCCTGTATTGTCGCCGTTATATTTGAAGTAGACTTTTAAAAAGTTGTTGAGTTTCCACACCACACTGCTCTAATTAATCCCCCTGCTTTCTGCAAAGCACCATTAAAAGACTGTAATTAATAAATGTAACACATTTGCTATTTTAATTACTTATTTATGTATCTATCTAGGCTATATAATTATTTTTAAAACACTATGTAACATTGTCCCAATACAAATACATTATTATTCTTATAACTATTCTTATTATTTTTGTTCATATAATTATTATTATTATTATGCCTGTATGTTTTGACCTGCACCTTGCATTACATTACGTCCTTTTCTCTCTTCAACAGTAACATCACATTTAAAAATACTGTGAATTTCGGCCGTTGTTTGTAAACTTGTTAGCAACACATTGAACCTAAAAGATCATTTTCATTTTTAGTAGCTGAGAACAGATGGTAAAAGCGCTTACTTGAAACTTGTGCACACACTGCCACTAGATGGCGTCAAGAGCACGTGTCATTTGTTAGCACAGTGGCCAGGGAGCCATCAGTCTGGTCTGGGACCGACTTCTTCAGACACGATCATCAGACCTGCACTGCTTCAACATTCACATTCTACACAGCCACTACACACAAACCAACTGAAGAAGGAAAGAAGCCTGTCTCTGCTTCACTTCACTCGGCACCGACTCCATGTCTGCGTCCAGCTGTGACTCCACATCTGGATCGTGTTAGCAGAGAAACCCCTCAGTCACTCAGCCCTGCCTCACTCTGCGCGTCACGTGGTGCGCCTCTGTGACTCGGGGTGGTGGGCGTGGCCTAAGCGGTGGGGTTTCATTCATAAATACTCTTAGCCTTTGAAATCCACATTAAAGTGCTCGCAGACGAGTTTCACGCTGCTGGCACCGGGCCCCGCCGCCGCTGCGCATGGACCAGACTGGTTGAAGTAGGTGAGTGTGGCTCCTTCCTTCGCTCCGTGATCGTGTGTGTTTGTGCAGTCAGTTCAAACCATGAGCTCTACCCTGCTCCCTGTGTGTGTGTGTGTGTGTGTGTGTGTGTGTGTGTGTGTGTGTGTGTGTGTGTGTGTGTGTGTGTGTGTGTGTGTGTGTGTGTGTGTGTGTGTGTGTGTGTGTGTGACTCAGGAGAGCCTGTGAAATATCACGATGGTGCATTTATTATCCTCTATTTTCCTGGATGAAACCTGCAGCTCGTCCATTTGATATTTTAATTTGTTCCGTCGCATAAAACGATGCGACCTGACAAAAACCTGATCTGCCAACCCCTCAGAAGGGAACAGCTGCGAGTGGCAGAGCCGATGCTCTTTATTTGCTCCTAGAGAAGAGAAAAAACAATCTTGCGGCATCGAGCAGTAAGGACCGAGATGCTTTCTTTCTATTGTGCAGCCATTTCTCCATAAAAACAACTAACTACGAGGTCTGTAATAAACCGTAGACCTGTGTTTTATTGTAAGGAGGTGCTGAGGAAATCAATGCATGGGTCTGAGTGGAAAAAAGGCTGCAAAGATCGACAATGATACACCATGATCATGAGTGAGGCAGCTGGTAGATAACGATTTTTTTTCATTGAGCATGACGGGATATGATTTTACTGGGACTCCCATGTCTTACCATCTGCTCAGCCAGATCATCAATACAGCTGTCCACAGGGGTTGTGTTAGGATAAAGAGACTTTTATGGCTTGATTGATGTCAGAATTTAATAAAGAATAAGTGATGAAGTTTGGTGTCATCCCAGGTGAAGCTGAATGTTGCACTTTTCTATCATCATCACTGCAAATGGAAAGCCCGTCTCTGGTGTACATGTGTTGAATGCAGAAAGCACTTATGTAATGTAAAAACGTATCCACTCAAACAACTGAATAATTAAACAAATCATTGTAATTGTTATGTGTGTGTGTTTGTTATCAGCCATGCAGCACTGCCGTCCTGTTGCTCCGAGGCCAGCGAGCCAGCCCTGACGGGGGGGAGAAAGCACTTGAGGGGGCTGGGTGGGCTGAGGTGCTGAGGATGCAGCAAGGGAGCTGAGGAGGAGACTCCGGAGCCACAGCCTGATACACACATTCAGAACTGCTGCTACTGCGTGCTGAACCTCCATCAGGGTAAGAACTGTACTGGGCTATAGGAAAGCAGGATGTGGTGTAGAGGGGGAAGCGTTCTGGTCACAGTCTGACAGTCTGCATGCTCAGATGGTGGATGCAGGGGGGATTTTTTTTGCAGAGTGGGAAGCAGAGAGCTCAGCGATAGCTTACAGGTTGTGGCGCTGAAGTTGAGAGGTGCTGCAGTGACTGGCAGGCGAGCAAGCAGAGTGCTGCTGGCATGTTGCTTCTCTCCTGCTGGGTGAGTAGATTCAACCAGGGTGTGTGTGTGTGTTTGAGAGAGAGAGTGAGTGAGTTGTGTGTGAGTGAGTAGGCGTTTGGTGCAGCAGCAGCAGCAGTATTATTATTGCCTATGATCTGTAGGAATGAAAGCATACAGCTATTGTATTGAAAGCCACTGGAGCCAGAGTTGGTGAGAGCTGGTGTTTATCTCTATTTTCTATGTGTGTTTGTTTATCATTGCGTGTGAGCATGTCTATATATAGTTATGAGGGCCAATTTTGCTTCAATACTATCATTGTGAGGACATTTTGACGTAGTGAGGACATTTTGGCTGGTCCTCACAAATTAAATGAGCTTTTTGTGGGGTTAACACTTAGGTTAGGGTTAGACATTTAGTTTTGATGGTTAAGGTAAGGGGCTAGGGAATGGATTATGTCAATACATGTCCTCACTACTTTAGAGAGACACGCGTGTGTGTGTGTGTTTGTGTGTGGGAGTAAGATAGAGTCTTTGGGCTGATAAGGAATTATGGGTGATAATTTATAGGCAAGATACTGACATTTGCATCCCTAGATTCAGCACATGCGTACAAACAGACGCTGTACACACACAATGCTCCACATGCAACAATATTCCTCTGTTGCAATGTGCATTTTCTATCACATTACACAGGGTAATATAAATGTTAATTTATCATTGTACGCATTCGGCAAAGTTTCGATTCATGTTTCCTTGCAGAGTATGTCTGTATAAACTGCAGCATCTTTGGCGGACTTTGGACTGTGATTTGATGAACAGCTCCAGTAACAGTCATTTCCTCTGTGTGTTTGTGTGTGTGCATGTGTTATCTCTCAGGGGGACTCTCTAGTTGGTCTGGACCATGAGCAATGAGTCTACCGTCTGGAACATCCTACCAGAAAACTCCACAGTAAGTCTGCCTGTCTGTCACCACTGGGTTATTCTCCAACGTCCTGTTTGTGTGTCTCGCTCAGCACCAGAATCATGCTTTGCCTCATTCTGTTCTCTGACCGATTGACTGGCTAATAGAGAACATCCGGACCTGGACCTGGAATAATTCAATCTCTAATCTAATCTCAGTTTTAATTTCCCCTCCCAAAGAAATTACAGCATGACGTCAGAGTCCGGCACTCATTAACACTTGCTTGTGCATTCTCCCTCTGAGAGGTCAGCGTTACACTCCACCTGCCAGATCTTCACTCTGACTTCCAGAGTCTGTTATCTTAACATAACCGTCTCTATTCTCCCAATGATGCCATTCATCGTTTTATTCACATAGTTTCAAGCCCAGTGTTCAGTTGCCTGTATGGACACAAAGAAATCAATTTTTTTTAGAAGGTCAACATGTACTTTCAACTCAAAATTCAACTGGTTTTCAATGGGGGAAAAGAAAGAAGACAGGAAATTCAATTATATTTGAAACTATAAAATAAATACACCAGTAAGAATCTACAGTAATCATGTAATTCCACGTATTCATATGGCAAACACAAATATATATATAGACTTTTTTCTTGATTAACTCCAAAATGAAATAGGTTGTTATTGTTTTGGAGTTATCCTGCTGACAGTCAAACCAAAGGCAATGAAAACATAACCTCCTTGTATGTATCGGTTGTGGTAGTAAATCGGTCATGCAGCAAATTGTGCATGGTTTTAACTTTCCACCTTATTTTATTGGAAGCCCCTGTAGACTTTTCATTTTTGACTTTTTCTAATAAAGAGGATTTTAAGACATATTCTCATTTTATTTTACTGGGGTATACTGTATAAGTGCACATTGTTGACTGTAGCAGGATAAGCTATAGAGCCTCCACCAGTGCTTGTTGTGCAGTTAATTTACTCAGCTGAAGTCCTCCCTGAGAGAGCTCTCCCATAGCTTAAGGTACACTGCAGACAGGTTAACAGCTCTGGCACTTATTGATTAATTGCACTGTTGCATTTATAGATTTACTTTAGGCCAGCCGAAAAACCAGTAGAGCTAGATCAATCTTTGAAGCTGCATGCTTTATTGTTACTGTGGACGTAAAACAGCTGCAAAACTAGACCACTGTATGTTGTGCATTTCATGTTGCAAACTGAATCACTTTCACTTATCAGGTCAAATATAATTAATGGTTTACTAATAGTTACTAATATAATTTTACGTCTGGTTCTGAACTGAAATTAAAATGTCCCTATTTCGTATCTGATCTGGACATCAGGAATAAGAGAGGGTGCTGCATTGACCACAAGAGAGTGGTTCTATTGGTTTGATGTTAATGTGGGAAGATTTGTCTGGTGCTCCCTCACTCATTAGTCATCATACAGATCAAACTCAGGACAGGAAGACGTCTACCTCTCTTCCTTCTCTTCCTTTCCTTCTTACCCGTCTTTCCGATTCAGATCAATTTTATTTTGCCATCTTTTTTTCTCAGGAGATCCCATTCAAGGCCAAGGAGCAGCAAGATGGCTACGTGCTCATCCTGGTGATCCTCTCCATCTTCCTGGTAGGAACATTGATCTTCATCTCGGTCCTCCTCATCACCTGCCGCCGATGCTGTCATAGAGGGCAATGCTGTAACAGGTGTGACGCAAATAATTTCAAAGTTGTGTTTTATGTTAAGCAGTTTATCCTGACATTCTGGTGCAGTGCCGATGTAAGGGGTGTACAATTTAGCCCTGTGGTAAATAATAACGTCTATTATTTTGAAAATATGCCAAAATGTTCATTCACCTCTATTGAGGATATTGAATGTGGTGAAGTTATATTGGGTTTCATTAGGTAGTTTAGTCTGAAGAACCAGGTGCACAGGCGTTGCCCCCCCCACACACACCCATCACACACACACCCACGCAGTAAATGTTACCGAGACTAATCTGCAACTGCTATAAACAGACCAGTACTGATATTGAATGTGGAAAGTTACACAATAGATAACTCTCACTGCAATTTCCAATGAAGATAACTACTTCCTGTTTACTCCACCAAAGTGAGTCTCAAACCCATCTTTGTTATGATCCCACTGCCACACAATACATTGATCCATTAAACAAATGAAACACAGAAAGCTGTATCAGAACAGTTATGTAACCCGCCTGATGGAGGCTAAGCATGTCAGAGCGGCAGCACAGTGCATTCACTCATTAAAATGATGTGCTGTTTGAATGTCAGCACCCCCTGTAGGGCTCTTATTAAAACACCTTGGTGGAAGCACATTCAATATTCATCCTCATTTATTTGTGATTCATCATGTGTTCATTCAGCAGTAACATGGCACCCATTAGTTGCTTGGTCCCTCTCCACGGCAGCGGTGCATCAGTACATACACATAAACGTACGAGAGCATGCTGGATAGAAACAGATAAACAGATAAACAGAGAAGCAGAGAGGCTGAGCCGTGAAAAGGCGAGGGAGAACAGGAGGAGAATCAGCAGACTGGTACAAATGATGAGTGTAATGAGATTTCATAGCAGCCATCGGCACTGATTAATCTCGCGTCTCAACCCGGTGCACGGCAAAGAGGCACACACACACACACACACACACACACACAAGCTCACACACAAGCTCACACACAAGCTCACACTCAAAGTCACATATAAGGTAAGGGAAAGTGGGAGCCACAGAGGAAATGAAAGACAGAGGAAGCGCAGATCAGGGTGGACGCAGAAATCCTTCAAGTCATTTCACACCGTTTCACACACACACTGGCACACACTGAAAACTCTCATATCTCTGCACAAAGAAATCAGAGGGAGGAAAATGATTGGAAAGAGCTTTTCATTTTCTGCCCCATCAAGTAAAAGCTAGACATGGGATATAAGAAGTCCTTTTTTAGAATAATTCACTCCATCTCCTAAATGATATGACCTTCACTTTGTATTTTCTTTGTGCCCTTAAAAAAAGGGTGGAAACATACAATCCGATATAGCACCAGATTTATCATTTCAAGAGATCCTTCGGCCGTGATGTTATCAAATTACCCAGTGAACATTCAGTTCAACCATTTTGTCTTTTTACTTGTCTTAAGGCTTGATTCTACCACTGTTGATGTGTATGTGTATGTGAACTCCAGCCAAACACAAAGGTCAAACAGTAGTGCTGCTGATCACCGTGTCAACCCTTGTTGCTGCCCACATCAGCAGGATCCGATAGATAAAAGACAGACTTCAGGTGGAATCATGTCACCGCATTGATCTCAATGTTTCCTCTTGCCCCAGGGCCAGCGATGACCCTGAAAAAACCAACACCACCTACATGGAGGAGTCTCAGCCCACCCATGGTAAGAGGAAAAACGCAGTCATGAGAAAAAGATATGTAGGGATAGACGAAACAGATAAAGACACGAGGGAGGAGCAATGGAGACAGCAAGGCTGGGAGGTGGAGGGATTGAATTGATGGAAGTGGGGATATTTTTATAGCATCAGCACAAATGTGTAATGTCTATTCCATTAAAATATTGTGATCTCGACCCAATTGGTTTAAGAAGCCGTGCCAGTCCTGGAACACATTTGGACATTTTGGGACCAGAGAGTGGATGGACTCAGGGAAAATTATCTATTTAAAGGTAGCATCAGTTTGGCATCCAAATGCCTTTGTTATACTTCTTGGTTTTAGTTTTACAGTCAGCAGTTTCTCATATTAATATAATCATCCTTCAAAAAGGTGTCTGAACATCGGATGTTTGACTCCAGACTCTATACAGTACAGCAAATGTGGATTAACTCCAGACAGATTTTTTTTTAAATATACTGTATTTGGCAATATGTAATGTAATACACATTGGCTAGTTAAGATATTAAAGAAATGAGGAGAAAGAGATAAGGACAGATGTGCAATTAAAGGTACTTGACCTAGGGACATTGTGGTTCATGCACGGGCACTGCCCTGAGCTGCAAGTCAATAGGGCATCCCCACCTAATGAAAAACCTTTGCTTGAGCTAGATACTAATCCTACAATATATCACATGGAACATCAGCCATTACTTTGATAGTCACCATTCAACAAGACTGAGAGGGCTTTGCTAGGGGATAGATATTGGAGCACTGTTGAATGCTAGCATGCTAATGTTAGCACTACCAACAGGAGGTACTGCAAACTTGAACATGATGTGAGCTGTAAACCAAATGATATGTATTGATACGACTATACTGTAGTGAAACGTGCTAATGTGGATACTGATGTTTTTTACTACTGTTGAAAAAAATTGGCATTTCATGGGAAGAAAATAGTACAACACACCAGCTATGTCATCTTATGTCAGAATCAATCATATAATTGTAGCATCCACCTTGGTCAAAAATGGGTGGCTCACCTGTCAGAGCATTCATCCTAGAATGGGAGTCAGCGATTATTTTTGAAATATATGCTTCTCGATACTCCTCAATCACAAGCTATTACGCTATTGTTTTCTACTGAGTATCTTTCAATTTTGGCACAGTGGTTCAAAACGTGCTCTTTTGATAGCTGACTGTATTTTTTACCTTCACATGGCTCAGGATTGTCCCTTAGCAAAACATTGCTGTGTTTATTTGCATCAAATGAGAATTTCTTGACAAACCATCCCACAGAGTATTTTGATATACTAAGGGCGACAGAGTTAGCTAAGCTAAACTTTCTGAATGCATTGACTTACCTTAAATAACCTCTTATCAGTGAACCACAAATAAACTCAAAGTGCACTTTAATCTTTCTTTGCCATCGCCACTGCTCTTCCCTCCATCTATCTACTTAAATATCCACATCTTCTGTTTTTTTCCCTCTCTTGTTTGTCTGGACAGAAATTACCATCAGGGTGGATGAGTCAGAATGCCTGTCAATGGCCAGCTCTCACGATCAAGAGACAGAGCGCTTCCTCTCCACCGGCACCACAGGCCGCCGCGTCTCCTTCAATGAGGCAGCACTCTTCGATCATGGCAAGAAGACCCAGGAGAAGGGACGCAGGTCAGCTGACTCATGAGCAGAAGCCCACATTTACAAGTCAACTTTCATTTTTGACCATACAACGCTTTCTGTGGTTAAAGGGTTGACATATTTGACCGTGTCCATCTCATTTATATATTAGTTTAGGTTTAAGAATTATTTCAGAATGCATTATGTATGATGTATACTTTTCTGTTAAAGCCCTTCTTCAAAGGGTTTATATGTATTGCTGAATGCAGGTTCCTGGGTAGCTGTGATGAGTTTGAAGCAGGATATTTCCCCTTGGCGGTTTTGTCTCTTGTGGATGGATACACTATCAACCTATGCAATGTGTCATCTTGAACAGATTTTCGTTGTGCTCTTTGTTTTGCACCTCAGGTACACTCTGACAGAGGGCGACTTTCACCACCTGAAGAACGCCCGCCTCACACACCTCCACATCTCACCCCCAGCTCTCAAGATAGTCACCATCCACGAGTGCGACTTGGCCGAGAACACCATCACCATGACAACGCGTCCTGTTGCTAAGTCATCACTTTCCATCTTCCAGGTTCAGTCTGGACTTGCTTTTAGACCTTATGTATGATTTGTCTTGATTGGGGGGCAATTAGATTATCAATCACTCAGGCCAGAGCGAGAAAATGTATCAGGCAAATGTACCCAAACAGCAATCTGGGGACTCTGCCTGCTCAGTTCAACACTGAACATTGATTCCCCATTTAGGTGAGGCTGTTCAATTACTAATAATGGGCTATTACCTAACATACTTTGTAGCATAACAGTTGTACTACAGCAGCCAAGGGTTTTGCAGAAAACATGCATGCTCAAACATGTGATTCAAAAGGGGTAAAAGGGTGTTCTTTCCTACAGCCAATGCTGTGCCCCCTTCCACAAACAGCGCTGACCAGCCTGAGTGTCAATCCCAGCTGTGCCCTCCCTGGAGATGCTCTCAACTCAGTGGTGGACACCAGCTTCAATGAGAACACTGTCGCACTCAGCACTAAAAAGCCTTGCTCCAGCTCTGTAAGTTACCACCAGTTACAGTCAAGTACACAACATTTTATACAAGAAAAATAACAAATTCTCACAATGGTGAGGACATTTTGGTTTGACTTTCTTGCTGAAAATTAAGAAAACATTCTTGGTAGTGAGTGTGCATATAAATCACCTGTAAGAGCTACATGTTGATCTAGATTCCACTGCTAGTATCTAGGTCAACGTGAAGTTCCTGGAGTTAATCATTTGTGATACATTTTCATAAGTCAGTACACCAACCAGTGAGTCATCCATGCGGACATTGTAAGGTCATCGAGCTTGAGGGAGGACGAACGCATGTGATGGCTAAACAAGGAAGCCTGTGTGGAACATCAGTGTCCATGTAGATTATGCACAAGCCGCTTATCTTGGCAGGTTTTCTTTGTGACCGTGTTTCTGTCTCTGCTCAGATCGAGATGATGGGAGCTGGACCGCGGGGCAGAGGCAGCAGTGTCAGTGTTGGAGAAGGGGCCGCGGTGGGAAGTGGTGCATATCCTGATTGTAGTGGTGGTGGTAGTACTGGAAGCCAGGGGCCCATGCTGCAATTCTTCACCAAACTGCGGCGTCATGCTAGTTTGGAGGGGGCCAGTCCCTACTTCAAGATCAAGAAATGGAAGCTGGACAGCAGCCAGAGAGCCTCGAGTTTAGACACTAGAGGTAATGGATCCTTGATGGTGTTTATTTCTGTTGGATTATTTTTAGAACCAATCTGGTGCCAATGCAGCAAAAACTTTAAGCAATTGTTTGTGGGCTTTTTTCATAATCATACTTCATTTTTTTCTATTTAAATGCATGTTTAGTATTTTTGGCAAATTTCTCTCCTGGTAAATAGACAATGGTTAAGCAGGGGGTTATAGCAACCAACTGTGAGATGCCTTTTGGCTGCAAAGACTCTCATATACACACACGTACAGGACAGATGGCTCAATGACGCAAAGATTGGTCTTTCCAAGTCAGTCTGAGCCCCTGAGTGAATCCACACTGCCGATCCCCCTCCATCCTATATACACACACTTCTCCCTGCTCATCCCCAGGCTCAGGTTTTCTATCATGCCAACGGAAGAAGAAAAAGATCACAAAATCCCCCTGCAGAGACCTCAACAGTTGTTGGAAAGCTTTTCCCTGAATCACTTCACTCCTGCCTGCTGTTACCCAACCTGTGGAACTCACAGTTCTCTTTCTCCACGTTTGTTATGAGCTAGGCTCGCCAAAGAGGAGACAGTTCCAGCGCCAGCGCGCGGCCAGTGAGAGCATGGACCAGGAGGAAAACGACGCGCAACACATAGACCTCATCCAGTACATCGCCCGCACCCAGGACGTCACCTACGGCACCACCCAGCCCGCCACCCGCCTTCTCTCGCCTCCCTCTACACCACCCCCCTCCCTCGGCAGGTATCTTTAATTCCCTTGCCATTCATCCTGTCCACTGCTTTGCTGCTTTGCACTCATTTCTTTTTCAGCAGCTAGAAAATGTAAAGTAACTGTAAAAAAGTACGATTTAATTCTCTGCCTTAACATAAAAGTGTACTTTTATAACCACTGTCTGTAAACTGCATTGAAAAAATATCAGTGATCTGCTCAGAGAACATCAGCATAAGTCCCTGGAAAACTTAACTCTAAAAGTTTTTATTTTTGATGTGATATTAAATTAGATTTAACCACTCCATGCTGATAAACAGTAAATACTTTTTAACCACAGTTTGATTTATATGTAATATGATCACTCAAAGAAAGGTTTCTTTAAAACCCAATTTCATGATTCGAGCCAGATGTTGGGGATTTCCAGAGTATACTTCTTTTTGTGGAGTTGAAAATTGGATCAGAGGGGATAAATCTGGCATAGGAAACCATTCCATCGCTGACATGTTCTGGATAATATCATGATATCTACAAGAGTACAATGTCACTGCAATTTCATGATATTAATTTTGCAATTGGATATCCAGATTTTGCAGAGTATTAGGTTATGCAACATAAATAACCTCCCAAGTACAAGCACTTATATAACTTATTTGTTTCTCTAGATGTTAGATGACATAAAATTAGTATTTCAAGTGCATGTTTGGCGTTGAAAATATAAGTAATTTCTGGTACGCTTTGGTGAGCTAAGAAATTTGAGGAGGTTTCTCGCCACTGACATCTCTCCAGTGATGTTGCATGCAGTGTGCGTTCTTTAAATGTGTTTTCCTGAGTTAAAGTGAAGTGAAGTGAGTTTTCAAACACACTTGGTGTCATTATTCAGCTTAGTTTGGTTTAAGGACATGCAACAGCACCCATTGCCTGTCATGAAAATCATTTTGTGCACTGTGAACACAGCCATCTCTCAGAAGAAAGTGTAAAGGTAAAATGCACTGACACTGACACTTGTTTTCATGCCTGCACAACCTCCCCTCCTTCTCTCTCTTTATTTCTTTCATTTTATCTCTCCTCTCCATCCCTGTGTGCACACTACAGGGTAGAGGTAGAGGTGATGGTGGAGCCCCGCTGCAGCCAAGGAGGACCAGGGGTAATTGGCCTGTCCCCTGATCCCCAAGACGAAGCACTGAACCTGACAAGAAGGGAAGGTGCAGACCCCTTGGAGCCCCAAGATCCCCAGGTCCCCCAGTCACTTTACAGAGACATCTGGACTCTTCGTGCAACACTGGAACAGTACGCCGCATCTGATAGGAGCAGCAACAATGACAGAAACTCCGTCTGCAGTGATGTGGACAGTGTGTGTTCACTAGGTGGACGAACAGAGACGGAGAGAGGAGGGCTCCCCAGCTACCCATCCCAAGATTTAGGGGATGAAGCAGAAGGTGGGGAGGATGACAAGGGCTTTTTGATGTATGTGGATGAGAGGTTGGGTAAGAAGGAGGGTAAAAAAAGGAAAAGCACAGAATCAGAGCGAGGGGGCAGTGATGGAGAGACAGGGACTCGTAAACTGCTGCAGATGGATAGCGGCTATGCTTCAATAGATGCTCCATCCCGAGGTCCAGAAGACCTGCGGCTGTTCGGAAGCAGCAGCATCAGCAGCAGCCCAAAGGACAGGACAGCCCACGAGAAAAGGCACCACTTCACCAGTGCAGGGCGAAGTGGCACTATAGGTGACAGCTTCGAATCTCATCTCTTTGAGGAAGAGCCAGAAGATGAGTTGTTGTTGGGAGCCAGTGGTGGAGTTTCCATTGAAACAGGTCCTGGTTCACTGAGCTGGTTTCCATATGGTCAGATGCTCACACCCCGAGAGGCCGCGCAACTTTCATCCCAACCACCAACCCTGCACCGACGAGACTACAGCATCGACGAGAAGACGGATGCCCTCTTCCATGAGTTTCTCCGCCACGACCCTCAGTTTGATCAGTTAGAATCACCACTGAGGAAACACAGGTCACGAATCCACCTCCGAAAGCAGTGGCAGCGGCACAAGCAGTGGAGCGACCCTGGTGTCAGACACTTCCAGTCATCCTTTGAGAGACAGCGGACTCCGCTACGGAGGGGTGAAAGTGTAAACTACCCACTGGACACGAGCTACCACAGCACCCTGCCCCGCATCGTCAGTGCTCCTGACGAGGAGACCAGCGATGGGACGGGCAGCACTCCTGACACTCCGAAGGTAGAGCCTATGACTACTGAGGATGAGAGCAAAGGCATCACTGTCAGAGACACTGCGGACCACGCCTCATCTCCTCCTTCTCATTCCTCCGTCTTAGAGAAAGATGACGGACTGAGTGAGCACCTTGACCATCAAGAGGACAGCAAACAGTCAGGATTCCCACCCGAGCCTCTGGATGAACGCTCACCCCCTCTGCTCCCTGACTCCTCAGGCTATGGCCCACAAACCATCACTGCAGAGCTCACAGACAAACTGACTGGTAACCTGGATGAGAGGCTGTACACAGGCCTTCGCAGGACCAGGGACACAGCCAATGAATGTGTGATGGTGACAGCCACACACGCCTCTCCAGATCACAGCCCTGTGTAGCTCAGCTAGAGTCGTCCTCCTCGTCAGTCGTCCTCCTCCTGCTGATACACACTTTGTTTCTGTTTGTCTTTCCTCAGTTTAAATGTCTCTGTACAGTTTGAATGGTGTGAGCCAGACCCAAAAAGAAACAATGGAAAGTTTACTTCAAATCAAATCTATAATCAAGAACTTATTCTCAGATAATGTTAGATACAGTTGATCTACTAGAAATGCATCCAGTCTCTCTTTATGCCTGTTGACATTACAAAACTTTTCAGTGTTGCCATTTGACAGTTCATTGAAGAACAATGTTACATATATAGAACTAACATATCAAAATAATGGTTTAAGTAATAACAGTTTGTCCAGTGTTACATTTTTTTTGTCTGTTGTCTATTCAGTCTCTTTTTTCATGTCTCTACTGCTGTTATTCCTGCTCTCCAGTAACAATAAGTGAAGCTGAGGGCCAGAATGGCCTCTATACTTGTTGATCCACTGTGAAACTAGGTGCTATTAGATGTGAAGAAAGCTACAGATCTGGACACAGATCGCACATAGTGAGTCATGTTATCATACTCATTAGATAAAAGATTAGTTATGTTATCATAAGTTATATGAGGCTGAATTCACGGATATAGTGGAGGTGATGTATATAGAGCTGTTCAGACTGATTATTCAGGTCAGTGGTTCCTAAGCCATGGGTCAGAATCTCCAATGAAGTATCTAAAGGCTGACCAGAAAATGATATCAATATTTTTCTATTTCGAATGATTCTTGGCCATTATTCGATATAGATCAACATGGAAGTTATTGTAGATGTTGCTTGGAGCAAATAACTCTTTTTATATAGATTGATGAAATATGTTGATAGAATATTGCTACTTCTGTTGAGATCTACTGCTAAATCAGTACTGCTGGATTTCTTCTGTCAACATTTTTCATGGACTTACTTAGTTATCTACCCACAATGCTGTGATAGGTCAGTTGTTTCAAGTGTCAATGTCTAAGGGCACAGTCACACATACAAGATTGTAGCAGAGGCAAAACTTTGCCTCCTGTTCACTTACAATCTGTGTGAGCGACGAGGCTAATACAACAATTGCTTCCTGTGGCAAAGCAAATCCACAGTGTGGCTTTATGTGAGATTTAACTTTAATGAAGTTTGACCCACACCATTTGCCATGTGTGACTGCGCTCTAAGACACCATATTTATTTTCACACACCAGGTGGAAAAAAAGGCCTGCCACTACCCTGCCTCTGATTGGCAAGTAGTTGTTATCTTCATTGGTTGGGTTGGATTGGTTTAGGTATGAAGATTGTTTAGGGTTACTGAAAGAGAATCAGGGTAAATCAATCAGAGGTTGGGTGGGGTAGGGTAGTTGGCCATCTCTGGTGGGAAGTTATTGGGGGTCACAAAGGGGCCACAAAACAAAAAAGGAACCACTGGTATAGAATGATCGACAAGAATAAAGCCCAGTTGGGAGTTTTCTCCCCCCTATTACTTATTTTGAAATGGAAGCTATCTTTTGATCCTCCTCACTGAGTGTGTGACCGGTCATGATGTTTGTTGTTTTTAACTGAAACTGCTTCTCAGCGGTGACAAGGGTCTTGTTTGTTTTTCATTCTTTTTATTAGTTTATGAGTTGTACACTATTTTGTACATCTGCATTGCTTGAACAATAATGAAAACTGACAAAGGGGCAGGTTTGACAAAAAACCGGATGAACAGGCACTCGTGCTCTTGTATGATGACTAATTATCAGTAACAGATATGACAATAATCTATGAGTATAGTACTCTTACTCTAAGAGTAGCTCTGGGTGTCACTGACACTAGAACAAGCTCAGTCCACAGCCTTGGGGTGGGCAGTTAAATCAAATCTATTAGACAGGATGGCTGCCCTCACAAACCTTTGGTGTTTATTGAATTTATAAGAAAGGCATGCTTTCTTGTGCATGTGGCTCCCAGAACAGGCCTTATTTGTCCACATCTGACATTCTTGTTTTTTCCTTCTTTTCTCTTCCTTTTCCCTTCCTGAGAAAGTTGACAGAGCAGTAGAAGCCTCCCTCGAGGGGGCAAGGACTTTACTTCCTGCCAGCTTATAAAATCAAACTGAACAAAGACATTATTTGTAGTAAAATCCAATTTTTTCCCTCTTATATTGCTTCCTTGTGTGATTAAAACAAACTGGTACTACTGCCATTCAAATAAAACTACATCAGCAAATTGATTTGCAGTGGGGGGAAGAACATCCGCAGTAGCAGAAGGTTGACTGTAACCCAGTTTTGGTCATGAAATCGTATTCTCAGAGGGGCAGTTGGGCTTTTCCCTTTCTTCCTTGTGCAGTGCAGGGAGCCACTGCAGAAGATGGTGTTGAATATTAATCACAACAAGAGAAGGGAAGCCCCCTTTTCAACTGTCCTTGGTCTTTGAGGCTGTTATCATGCAGCAAACTAAAGGAGTTAATACAAATGGAAGAGAAATATTATCCTCCTCTCTTTGTTATGATGTCATGATAATAATGATGCCCCTCTCCAACCTGCACATATTGCATCTTTCTCTGCTGGGTTGCAGGAGTCTCCTCTTGTGGCTAAGTGGACTCTAGGGCAGAAGCTGCATTCCTCATTACGGGAACAGTGACTGAGATGAAAAGAGGTGAACACAAATAAGGCATAAAGAGGATAGTGTTTTTTTTCAATGAACAATTTTGTGCATTTGTATCCTTTTTATATTGGCACTAATCAGCTGTAAAGAAATAAAATATCAGTAATTCCCCTCTCGGTTATGACAGCCCTAATGCTTCCTTGTTGATAGTAATAACTCAGCGCAATGTGACAGTTCTGGGAAAAGAGGAAGACAGCTGTGTTTCCTATAGATCATAAGTCAAAATGTGTCAGAGCTGAGTCAGTGGGATGTGACGACCGCACAGCAACCCTAACAATTCAATGAAAATGGCCATAAAGGTTGATTATCCATCGGTACACATGTACAAAGATTCGATTTTGATGTGTATTAAAGCACAATGTCACAGGACCTATAGACTAAATCAATGTCCTTCATTAGATTTAGGCAGATACTGTGTAACTGGAAACACTGTGGTAAATGGTGTTTGTATACTAACCAGTAGCCTGTCAAATGCTTTGATGCATAGCTGTGTGTAGGTCTGCATGAGAGATCAACATTTTAGTAAAAATCTTTGTTAAAAATGTTTTCTCAGACTCACTATACAAAACGATTATGTCTATAGTTGACGGTCATTTGTTTTAAGGCAGAGTTGGAAACATTGGTATGACTAGAGGTTTTGTATTTTGTGGAATCACAACTTTAAAGATTTTGTGAGATTTATCTCTTTAAAGGTAGAAGTATTTCTGTATTCCTTGCTTGTTAGTAAAATGCTTCATTTCTCAAAGAAAAAAAAGGCTGGCTTTCTTAACCACTTTGCTTTTGTTGATCCAAATCTATTGAGCCTTGAGGGACCAAGTCATAAAAAAGTGTTCTTTTAGGGTTGTTTTTCAATCTGTGAATAAATGAATGAACTTAAACAAACATAATGATTCTCACATGCCTTATTCCGAGGGAATAGTTGTTAATCAAGGCGTGGAAACAGGGCGCAGGTAAGGATCTCTCTTGCGAATCCCATTTCATTTTTCTCTATTGCTCAGGCTCATAATGATTTCTTGCCTCTCCTTATCACGTCCTACAAATTAATTGGAGAGAAAAGTCAAATCCAGTGTGTGATCTATAAAGGGAACACTTCAAATGTCTGCCTTCCTCTTCACACTGGATAATCTAGCCCCCTGGTCTATGCCTTAAACTGAAGGGCCAAAGTTTAAAAACAATGAAATCAACCTACTGTTGCACTGCTTTATCCTTCTAAATTCGCGATTAGATTTATGTCCTTTGCTACAGAAGACATACATTGATGACTGTTTGATGATGAAGCAAACTAAGGTTGCTTTCACAATTACCTTGTTTGGTCCAGACCTTTAGACTTTTCAGTATAGGCTGAACCAAAATAACAGGTGGGTGCCTATGATCAACAGTCCAGTCCAATAGACCAACATTTTGTCCAAATTTAGAGCAAAAGAGTTTTGCAGTGTAAAAACATATTATTGGATCTTTTGGACCAATTGGGACAGTTGAGGCAGCATGGAGACAATATGCTGATGCCAGACAAATGCCCGTCTACAAACCAATCAATATTAGGTATAGGTAGATGTATCCCACTAAAGTAATGACAACAGGACATTCACATGCAAAACTCTTGAATCTGCCCCTAAACTGCAATTTTCATAGCCTTTTGCAACATTGACATGGTGGTTAACAACTATTTGATGTGATACTCAGTCGATGCTATGTAACATGAAACGAATAATCAGTAACACCATAATCAAAATAATAATACTGTCTTATTCAGAATAAGGGATTAGGAATATTGCTATGTAAACATAGCCAGTGTTGCTCTGTGGATGGCGCTCTCTGGGCAACAAACAATGTTTTAATGACTTCACTCTTTCTAAACTACTTCACACATTTATTGAGCATTTCCCAAGAAGAAGAAAACAAGAAGAAATGAATTCTGACATGAATTATTTCAAAGTTGTAACACCTAATAAAGGGCAGGATGACTAATGCTAAAATTCCTGGAGGCACAGCTGTGATTAAATGTGTAGGTTTGAGCACTGTGTTCAGTAAAAGACGAGTCCTTTGCAACGATCTAAAAAACAACCATATGGATGGGATATAGTGGAGAAAGGTTGATCCAAATTATGCAAAACCTAACTCTTATAGTATGGAAACAGTAGATCGCCTATCATGATCTAAATCCGCTATTAGGCCAACCCACCAATCAAAACGATACATCAGAGTCAAGGTGAGGCAAACTGCAGTGTGCCAGTGGATGAAATGGAGGAGACTTCAGGGAACAGAGCAGGGACTGCTGCTGCTGCTGCTGGAGAAAAGAAAGTCACACGTGTCAGAGCTGCTGAACATGGAAGTGCATTATTATTATATTCTTATATCCAAAAATAGGGTAGTAGATATAGATTGATAACAAAATTACAATATTAAATTAATTATGTCCAACTACTCCTTAAAATCACATAAAAGAAAATAAAAAGTGATGAGAAAAAAAGAGAGTTTCCCAACCTCAAGCTGTATCATTTCAGGTCATTAAAACATGGAGAACTTTCACAACAGCGAATGAGCTCAATAATAACTGTCAGTGTGTCACTATGCACTTGATACTGATGAACTGCAGAGTGAATAGAGAGCTGCATTTACTCACTGTACGGTGTGTGTGTGTGTGTGTGTGTGTGTGTGCGCGTGCGTGGAGGGGGGTGCACTGCCTCTCTCTGCTTCGTTTCACCCTTTTACGTCATCCTGAGCCACACCGCCATCACTACTTATCTTCTGTCAGCCAATCACTGAGCCAGACACCTCAGCAGTCAGCCAGTTAGGGGATTGCAGAGGGGGTTTTCTTCAGTATGTGAAGCTGCGTCATTGTCTGTGGCAAACCCAGAGAAACATCCTTTGTGGCTGTGTACATTCCATACTAGAGGTGAATGAAAACCTCTGCACGTCATATCAGTCATTTCACAATAGACAATAGACATTGAGCACTTTGCCACTTATTGTTATGGTTATGTGTTTGAATCCAGGTATTCCAGTGTTATACAGCTGAAATAATTTGACAGTGATATTGGTCAGTAACTTATCTGTTGTTGAGTTAACAGATTTTTAGATGCTGCCTTTTTTTTACTCTGTCAAAGGTTCCCTCTTGTAACAGTAAGAATAGAATTGAACTAAAGCATTTTATAGTCATTGTATAAGAGATAGCAGAGGTGCTACTTCTGAAAACAGTGTACATTTATTTTTTTGTTTTATTTTCTGCAAACATTCAGTGCTCAAGGTGAGGTGTAATCTGGACCTTGGTTGGCATGCAGTATTGCTGTGGCTGACTTGTGGCCCAGATCTAGTTATACATTATTTCATCTTGGTCTTATCTGAGCCAAAACATTTTTGCTTTAGTGAGTACCACTTCTAATCCCGTATTCCTGCTTTGTCACATTTCTGAATTTCATTTTGAGAAAAAAGTCTGATTCGATCACAGTTTGTTGCAGCTTGTCTCATTTTTTTCCCCGCTCCTCTCCATAAACACCAACTTACTCAGGCTGCTCCATTCACAACTTCACTCATACAACCACAAACAGTGATGGCAATGGTGTTCCCTCTTTTTGTGCCTTTCTTTCACACCCACCCACACGTTGCACATTTAAAGGTCTAATACCTCACACACATGAATGAACACATATTTGCCTCTGCAGTCCCCCTGCACCTCTCCTCCACCTCCTCCTTCTGCTTTGCCTCCATAACATAAGACAACTGTCAGGGCGGCGCTCAGCATTCAGGGATGTTTCTGAGAGGAAAACCCCTTCACTCCCTTTCACTACCACCACCACCTGCTCCTCTGTTCCCCGTCCACCCACGCATTCCCCTCCTCCCTCGCCTCTCTCTCTCTAAGCAGATTGCCTTCTAAAAGAACAGCCCACGGTGCCGTTCGAACGTGCGAGAGATGCCGATGACTCACTGGGTTCCTCGCTGCTCACGACTTGACGCCTATTCTCCTTCTCACTTAGGATAAATGTGATGCTAAAAGATAATAAGTGTGAAATAGTGTTGACTCAGCTGACCTCAGCTGTGAATTGGATAGAGCTAAAATTGAGCCTCACTGCCAGTGTTTTTTGAATTTCACATTAAAATAACAGGCAGCAAAATTATTTTGTCTATTTGCTTTGCGCAGAACACAAAAGGCAGTTCCAGGTTATTTAAACGTCAATGATGATAACACCAGCCTCCTCTATCAGACACTTAGTCTGGCTGCAGATATTCAAAGAGATTAGATGATTTTTCATTCTTTTGTCAAACAAATGGAAAGAGGGGAGAGTCCATGAAAGTGCTTTAACTTGTGCTGCTGAATGAGTCATAGAGAATGGAGGGGAAAAGAGAGAAAAGAGTGCAAATTAAGACAAAGAGACAAACAATAAGCAACAGAGCGAGGCAGACACATATATGGGTGACAGAAATGAAAGGGGTGGTACAATGTGGAAACTAAAAAGAGCTAAAAAAGAAAGTGAAGGGAAAAAGAGAAAACCCTGGAAATCTTATTATGCAGCATCTCCTGCCCACGCATGTCTGCCTACGCACCCCTCTCTCCACCTCCTCCTCTTCCTCCTCTCCTTGCTCTGTCCATTACTTCTCCGCCCCCCTTCTTTTCTCAGCTGCGTCATCTAGCGCTTCATTGTGTTCGCATCTCCACCAACACCACCACCCGCTCCCACCTCTCTGGGGATGGAGAACTCTCCACTGCTTAGCTTTGTTACATGTAGACTGGAGCTTTTGGGGGGTTATGTTACTGTGGCCACACTTCATGATGGGTCAAAGGAAGAGAAACACACACCCACGTACATGCTGACATTATTCCATACACCAGAGAGATAATTTATTCATCCAGCAGCCTGTAAATCGTTATATATGATGATGATGTTTCATTGAAGCTCCTGTCCAGGCTTTTAGAAGCTCAAGGAAGTTATTTTCATCTTTGTGTTTAATGCAAACAATGATAACTGTGAACGTAATGGTGTAAAAACAGTATGGAGTTGTTGGGAATTATTTTATCATCTGTCCTGTGTGTTGTGACTGTGCTTACAGCTGAAAGTACAAACTCCTATTTCCAGACCTCAATGATCCTCAGAACGGAGATATTCTCAGTCTTGTTAACCTGTGACCCAAAGACTCCTGAGTGCCCAACCCCAGTGATCACACTCATCGCCCCGATCCTCTTTGAGAGAACTGAGGGAGAAATGTAATCACTGATGAAAATTAAAGACAAGCATGACTCACTACATCTTAGCACTTGAAATATGAAACATCAACATAGCATTACCATATAGGGATGTGACTGAAGGGTTTTGACTCAAATGATTACCCTCATGAAAATATCACTGCTTGTCCAGGTCATGCTGGCCGAACTGAAGGAGACCAACTTGAAATTAACTTTTTTCTTATTTATGCACCACTTGTCATCACCTCCCACTATCCAGATATGAAGCCGAATAGCCCAGATCTGAATGGCACCATCTATTACCGATGACATTGTTTGGAGCAAGAGACTGTGGGAATGGAGCTGTGGCATCAGGGTCCCACTAATACACAGGCTTTACCAAGCCCAGGTCAGTCTTAGCTGCCAATTGTGACGTTTTACCCTGTTCATTTAGCATTGAATAACAAATAACCAGTATAACATCATATCCATTTAGTTATGGTTTAATTACACTGAACTACAGTGAGGCTACATCCACACTACTATGTTTTCATTTCATTTCATTAACTCTGTAATGGATACGCTTATAATAATAATACTGAGAAATGCTGCTGGCCCAATTTAGTTTGAAAATTCTAGGGCAGTGATTTAGTCTGAATGGGAAGAAACAGCTG